AAAGAATGTCCCAGGCTAAAGAACAAAGGCAAACCTGAAAGGGGAAAGGCTGTCTCGGAATCAAATGTGGTCGAGTATGATGATGCAGATTCAGATTTCGCATTCGCTGCTACGCCATCAACCAACTGTTCCAGTTCATGGCTGTTAGATTCAGCTTGTAGCCACCATATGACCCCTAATAGAAAATGATTCTTTGATTTTAAAGAACTAAAAGGTGGAATTGTCTACACAGCAAATAATTCCTCTCTTGACACACTTGGGATTGGTTCAATTCACTTGAGGAATCAAGATGGATCAATCAGAAACTTAACAGGTGTCCATTATGTACCAGATTTAATGAGAAATCTCATCTCTGTGGGAACCTTAGAGTCAAAAGGTTTAGAAGTGAGGGCAAAAGATAGGATTATGAGGATTATCTCTGGTGCACTGGTGATAATGAAGGGAATCCGGAAAAGAAACAATGTGTATTACTTTTTGGGTAGTACAATTATTGGGACGGCAGCAGTGGCAGTTTCTACTGATGAAAAGAAGTCAGAAGCAACCAGTTTATGGCATATGTGCTTGGGGCATGCTGGTGAAAAATCCTTGAAATTACTAATAGATCAAGGATTATTGAAGGGTGCTCGGGCTTGCAAATTAGCTTTTTGTGAGCATTGTATTAAAGGGAAGAAGGCGAGGGTGAAATTTGGAACAACAATCCATGATACTAAAGGTATTTTGGATTATGTTCATTCAGATGTATGGGGGCCTTCCAAGACAACTTCATTGGGAGGAACACACTATTATGTCACCTTTGTTGATGATTTTTCCCGTAGAGTTTGGGTGTATACAATGAATACAAATGATGAGGTGCTAGGATTTTCCTTAAATGGAAAAAGATGGTGGAGACTCAAACAGGCAGAAAAATCAAACGTCCCGTACAGACAATGGTGGAGAGTATAAAAATGATCTATTTCTAAAAGTCTATGAAGAAGAAGATATTGTTAGACACTTCACTGTCAGATCTACATCATAACAAAATGGGGTGGCAGAGCGAATGAACCGGACATTAGTGGAGAAGGTTCGGTGTATGTTGTCTAATGTTGGGTTAGGCAAATAATTTTGGGCTGAGACTTTGGCCATTGCTTGTCATCTTGTCAACCGCTTACCATCGACTGCTATTGGTGGTAAAACACCATTAGAGGAATGGTTTAGAGAACCTGCTACAGATTATGATTCCTTACATGTGTTTGGTTCCACTGCATACTATCATGTTAAGGAGTCAAAGCTGGATCCAAGAGCAAATAAGGTGATCTTTATGGGGATCATCTCTGGTGTGAAAGGCTATCGTCTTTGGTGTCCAGAAACAAAGAAAATAATCTTCAGCAGGGATGTTACCTTTGATGAATCTACCATGCTGAGAAAGGTGACTTCAGAAAAATTGGAGCAGACAGATGGAACTCCCAAACAGGTGGAGTTTGAAGGGAGCAGAATTGACCCAGCTAGTAAAGAAACTGATGTTGACTATCCTATGGTAGAAGAAGAGTCAGATGAAGAAGAGGTTCAGACCCAAGAACCTCCACAGCAACATGAATCAATTGCACTCAGAAAGGGTAAGAGGGCCATTAGACAACCTGCTCGTTATGCTGATATGGTCTCTTTTGCATCACCAATTGCAATTGATGACGTTCCTGCCACTTTTAATGAAGCAGTCCAAAGCTCAGAACATAAAAAGTGGAGGATCGCCATGAATGAAGAAATACAATCCCTTCAAAAGAATCAGACGTGGAAACTAGCTAGTCTTCCGAAGGGAAAGAAGGCAATTGGGTGCAAGTGGGTATATGCAAAGAAAGATGGATTTCCTGACAAGAATAACATCCGTTATAAAGCAAGATTGGTGGCTAAAGGCTACGCTCAAACGGAGGGAGTTGATTATAATGAAGTATTTTCTCCAATTGTAAAACATTCCTCCATCAGAATTTTGTTGGCTTTGGTAGCATATTTAGATTTAGAACTAGTTCAGATGGATATAAAAATTGCATTTTTACATGGAGACTTGGATGAGGAAATCTACATGACTCAGCCAGATGGATTTAAAGTTGCTGAAAAAGAAGAGATGGTGTGCAAATTAGAAAAATCACTGTACGAATTGAAGCAATCTCCAAGGCAGTGGTGCAAGCGATTTGACAAGTTTTTGATAGGGAAAAAGTACACAAGAAGCAAATATGATCATTGTGTGTATTTACACAAGCTACAAGACGGATCATATATATATCTTCTTCTTTATGTTGATGATATGTTGATAGCTTCCAAGAGTCAGACAGAAATTGCAAAACTAAAGACTCAATTGAACAAGGAGTTTGAGATGAAGGATCTTGGTGAAGCGAAGAAGATTCTAGGCATGGAGATATCAAGGGATAAGAAATTTGGGAAGCTTTGTTTGTCTCAGAAAGAATATCTGAGAAAGGTACTAAAACGTTTTGGCATGAATGAGAAGTCAAAACCAGTTAGTACACCTCTTGCTCCTCATTTCAAGCTCGGTGCATCCATGTCACCTAAGGATGATGCAGAACAGGAATACATGTCAAAGGTTTCGTATGCAAGTGCTGTTGGTAGCTTGATATATGCAATGGTGTGTACGAGACCCGATATTTCACAGGCAGTTGGGGTTGTGAGCAGGTATATGCATGATCCTGGAAATGAGCATTGGCAAGCTGTGAAATGGATTCTGCGGTATATTTTGAACACCGTAGATGTTGGTTTGGTCTTTCAGCATGACAAACAAGATGGTCATTGTGTAGTTGGGTATTGTGATTCAGACTATGCAGGTGATTTGGACAAGCGTCGATCAACTACTGGTTATGTGTTTACATTTGCAAAGGTACCAGTCAGTTGGAAGTCCACCTTACAGTCAACAGTGGCTTTGTCTACTACAGAGGCAGAGTATATGGCAGTTACATAGGCTGTGAAGGAGGCAATTTGGCTTCAAGGGTTGCTTGGTGAATTAGGAATGGAACAGAAGCACATCAAAGTGCATTGTGACAGTCAGAGTGCTATTCATTTAGCAAAGAACCATGTTTACCATGCAAGGACGAAGTATATCGATGTTCGATATCACTTTGTACGAGAGATTCTAGAAGAAAGTAGAGTCATAATCCAGAAGATTTGGACCACTGAGAATCCTGCTGATATGTTGACAAAAGTGGTAACTGCGGTCAAGTTTAAACATTGTTTAGACTTGGTCAATATTGTTACAAATTGAAAGATGAATTTGCAGACACTCTGAAGATTGAATTTTTGAGAGATGTGTGTAGAATTTGCTAAGGTGGAGATTTGTTGGTTTTTTGACAAAGTCCCACATTGGTTGTGTATAAGGAGGAGGGAAAATTCTTTTGTTATAAATAAAGCCATCCTCCTCCTTAGTTAAGCATCCCACAAATATAAGCCTTCTTCACTATTAAAGGTTATTTGTACTCTTTCTTTCTTTGTAATATTTCCTCTACTAGTGAAATATTATTTTAGTAGTATTCGAGGAGGTAGGCATAATTTTGGCCTAACCTCGTTAAATTTTGGTGTTCTCTGTATGTCTATTTAATAGCTATTGTCGGGTATAGTTGTTGTTAATTATTGTCCTATTAAAATTACTTGTCTTGGTAGTTCTGTCTAAGAAAAGTGGGTACCATTGTGACTCCTCCTCTTTCCTGAGAATCTACCTTGGTGTGATTTTTAGTATAATCGTTTTCACACTAGTCACCTAGATAATAGTTTCCAAGGTGAATTTGTTATTATTGGTGGAAATTAATCCGAATTCCACAACATTACAGCAGCAAGGAAAGCCCAAGATTCTTTTAATCAATTTTCGTACTGATACTTGACCATAAGATTAACATTCACTGGATGCTTGACTGAAAAGCTCCTACGTTCTGTCATCTGAAGCATAGTATCGAACTTAAGGGAGACATGGTAAATGGTTGGTCCCCAATATTTGGAATAAGTCAACTAACTAATATGGCAATATACACATTCATGCTTCATATTTGCTGGGTATGGATTAATTGGAAGAATTTATTATTCACTCAGTACATTAGTTCTTATTGTGAACTAATATGATAATATACACATTCATGCTTCGTATGAACTAATATGGTAATATACACATTCATGCTCCGTATCTTTCTCATCATTTACACCTAAAACGATGTTCGCCAATTCTAGCTTTAGTCATTGAAATTTCCTGTCACCCTTTTCTTTTATGTTTTCTTATTTGGCTTTTATAGGTTGATATACCTCCGAGTAACAGGAATGGATGATGGGTTAAACATCAAGGAGAGATTTTGCTATGTATGTCTTAAAAATATGATCCTTTTTCTTTGCATGTGATTATTTACGCCACCAGTCCTTGATAGCGTAATCTCCTAACTAGATTACGTAATTTTATGTACTCCATTGGCTGCCATGTCTGATATAATTTTATTTGCACAAAGATTACATAATTTCAGCGCCAAGTCATGGTTTATAGAGTTTTATGAAATTTGCAAATATTTCTATAACATGATAATGTGTAAGTCATAAAAATATGATTCGGGGTTTTAAATCACGGTTCGAAAACATGATTTTGTCCGCGAAATAGCGGTTTCGCCGCTGTCCGAGTTACTCGCTACACCCACAATAGTGTCCGCGACGGCCGTAATAGCGCCCACTACGGCCATAATCACGGTAAACTCAAAATAACCGAAAATGCGACGTCGATTTGAAACCTGATATGATTCATTTTTTTGCATGTGATTATTTACTCCACTGGTCCTCGATAGTGTAATCTCCTAACTACGATACGCCAGTGGCTGCCATCTCTGATATAATTTCATTTTCTCTAAGATTACATAATTTCAGCATTAAGTCATGGTTTGTAGAGTTTTATGTAATTTGTAAATATTTTTTTAATATGATCATGTGGAAGTTTCAAGGTTTCTGTGGAACTTTATGAAAATACTGTCACATTCACTAAATAGTAAAGTCAGTATTCGGCATTTTCTATATGCTCCTTTAACTTGTTCAACTCTTTCAGAACCAAGTGAAGTTGTGTCTCCTTTGCTAGTACTTTCTGCAACTCGACAACAAAGAATTTTTAGACAAAAAAGAGAGTTAAACTACGATGCTCCGACTCTTCATTTACTAGAGGCATTCGTGTCCAACAAATATTCACTCACATCCGAGTAGTTGTAACATAAGTTTAATAATAGTACTGATCACGCAATTTTCATATGACTAGATTTCCCAGAAATTTATTCCTCAAGCTCCGATTGTTATATTTCGATATTAATATTTATCATCCGAGTTGAAGGTCTACAGTCGAATGCAGAAACAAAAGAAAAACATGAATGTGCAATAAATATTCTATCCAAATCAACACTAAATTATACAATGCCTTGAAACAACAATTCAGGTGAAAGACAGAAGTTCCAGGAGTCATTTACCTCTGCAGAATAAGCTTCTGCCTTCTTTATGGCGGGGTTTTCCCCGGAGAAAGCACCTTCACCAAAAAGAGTGACGGCATCTTTAACAGATTGAAAAGGCGCAGTAGTGTCTATCTCCCCGAACTCCACTTTCGGAGATCCCGTGACATTCTGGGTCTCCCCTGGCGATCATAATGCTTTGCTTGTTTATTAGTTCTCTGAAATTCAAAAGCAAAACTCAAAAAATGGCACGGCACGGCATCGATCACAATATAAAACATCCAACATCCAAACATGTCTCGGCTGAAACAAAGCAAATTATCATCCCAAACAAACTTTTGATTCTTTGAAACCATTACAAACCAAAAGACCTTAATTTATCCCAGTTGAGAAGAATATCATACCGTAGCAGCAGGAGATTCTTTGGCTTTGAATCAGGGTATTATTCAAGAAGAACAGGTTGTTCCGGCTCGAAACTGCAAGAAGAGCAGGTAGACTCGCTCAATAACAATCTAAACCGGTAACTTCAAGCAAAAAATCCTCATGATCCGAAAGGGCCAATACATTCAATGAAAACATATGAATAAATACGCCATATATTACATAACTCATGCTAAGGCACAATCACATGTTCGAGAAGTAACAATTTCTTGTATAATCATTTAATTTCAACTGAAAAGTTCAAGCTTTCACAGATATGTTGCTCGGGCTCTTCATTTTCTTCAAAATACTCTGACCCAGCAAATACAGGGAAATGTTTAGACAAAAAAATTTAACATATTCATATCAAACACTTACTAGTAGTGGTATCCACCACTCGAATTCGAATCCAAGTAAACATAGATTCATATAATATTAGTAGTTGTATCCACCACTCGTTCGAATCCAAGTAAACATAGATTCATATAATATTAAGTCAAAATTAGTTAGCAACATCATAACAAAAATCACATTATGAGTGAAGCAGACCATACCTTAAATGTTCTTGTCAAGTCTTCAAACAAACACACTATCAAATCACCTCCTTGTCCTTAAGATTCAAGACCATCAATCTTTAAACGTTTTCCCCAGCAATCCAAACCATAAACCCTAACTCAAGATCAAAGAGAAAACAGAAGAAATGTCTTTTAAAATATTATAGAATTAATAGAGATCAGAAATGGAACGACTCAAGCAAAAGTCAAAGAAAAGCCAAAAACTTGAAAAGAATAAATTACTTACATTTTAACAGCTAAACCCAACAAAAAAAAAAGGACCCTGATAAAAATTCCAATAACAAAAGAACGTTCATAAAAGGGTGAAAAATCAAATAATCACCTTCTCTAAAAGGCCTTCACATCTTTATGATCATCTTCTTTGATCTGCACACTATTGCTTCATTCACTCAAAAACATCCTTTCAATCCTTCAACCTAAAGTCCAAAACCCACCAAGAAAAATAAAAACTTGTGACAAGAATCTCCCAAGAAAGTTAAAAACTTGTGACAAGAATCTCCCAAGAAAGTTTGATTCAAAAAAAATATTCTCCCCCAAGAAAAGAAAGTAGGCTTCCTGGAAAAGAAAATTTCCTGAGTTTTAATCCGAGAGAACTTTACTATGTTACCGTTTTAGCATTATTGAAGGATTCAAACAGTAACTGCGGCAAAAGCTACAGAGAGAAAAAGTAAGAACATTCGAAAGCTGCATTGAGGGGCAAAATTTTATGTATCAGAGAGAAAGAGAGGATAAAAGAAATGGAAAAGGCTGTTCCTTTTCCTTTGATTGCCTTTTCCTTTGATTGTGATGGAGAGAGACAAAGAAATGGGATTTCCAAGGATGTTACTTTTTGGACAGTTATGTGGATTGTCTTAAAATGAAAGGGTAGTTCTGTCGGAAAGACACTAGCAGAGGAGCAGAAAGGAGAACGATGCCACGTTCAATCCATCACTGGAAGAGATGAGTGAGTAGCGACAAAAATGAAATTAAAGGTGCGTTTGGTTTCGTAAGATTACAGGTGGAAATGTAAAATTATCATAGAATAAGATTATTGAAAATGTTTATTTTGTATTTGGTTGGTTTAGAAGGAATGTAAGAGTATCGTGTTTGGTTAAAGAAATAAAAGATTATTAGAATGTATATTTGACCAAATTATCCTTATTTTATATTTATTTTTTAACAAATTAAAAAATATTTATATATTTTCTTTAAAAAAATTTAAATTCATAAAATTTATATTTTTTTACAAAATTGAAAATATAAAAAGGTTTAATGAAGCGATAAAATTTTATTTTAATCCATGAACTTCATATAAAATTTTAATTATAAACTTTTTTTATAAATCTAAAATAGTTTAAAGATAAATTTGTAATTTAACCTTCATAGAATTTTTATTATTCAATGACAGAAGAAAGATATTTTTGAAAAACAATTAAGGGCGTTTTAGTCCAAAACGCCGGTAATCCAACAATACCTAAGGAAAGGGAGGTAATGTCATTCTCGGTAATATACCAAAAAAAATCTACTATTGGTAATAAAACATTACTGGGAATGAGATTCCCAACCAACCAAACATGAGAATGTGGATTTCATTTCCATGTGAATCCCACATTCCTTGATCTAAACACCCCTGAAATGTTAAAAAAGACGTTTATGAATCCTAATTCCTTCATGTATCATCTCTCTCTACAAAAATAATATTTTTTATAAGTAAACTACATAAGAGACCACTAAATTATGATAAAAATTAATTTGACGGAGGTGGTGACATGATCGTTAAAATATTTTAGTATAATTCACAATTGATCCCTATAACTTATATATTATTTCAATTTGATCCTAATTTTAATAAATTAAAATAAAGTTAACAATAGAATTGGGAGGTGTCACGTTTCATTATTCAATTGGATGACTAAATTTATTTTAATTTATTTTTAATTCTCTCTTATTGGTGAAAAATAAATATGCACAAAAGGTAGGTGAGATGATTTGAACCCAGGTTGCTTGACTAAAATTTTGATAATCAAACCATTGAGCTAATCATCCATTTGATTTGCTTTAGACAACAAATAATATATATATTGTAGCTCAATATATAAATGATTTACTCAAAATTAAATAATATTTTATATATCTTAAATTTTTAAAATTATATTTTAATTTTGATTTAACTTATTAAATATATTTTATTTTTTTTCTTAATTTATTAAATATATTTATTTTTATTTTAATGTAAAATATATATTTTATCTTTATAATCACTTAAAAATATATTTTTACAATATTTTAACTTAAAATATATTTAAATATTTTATTCTTATCTTCACTTAAAAATATATTTTATATTTTATTTTAAATTAAAAATATATTTTATCATTATCTAAATTTTTAAAATATATTAAAATATCTTAACCTCAAAATGTATTTTAATTTAAAAAGAAAATATTATTTAAGTTAAGATATTTAAAAAAGAAATTTTAAAATTTAAGATAATAATAAAATATATATTTTTATATTAAATTAATAATAAAATATTTAAATATATATTTTAATTTTTCAAATGAATTTTAACTGATGATAAAGATAAAATATATATATTTTAAGTTAAAATATTTTAAAAAATATATTTTTCAGTGATGCTGAAGATAAAATATATATTTTTATATTAAAATAAAAATAAATATATTTAATAAGTTAAGAAAAAATATTTAATATGTTAAAACAAAAATAAAAGAAAATTTTAAAATTTAAGATATAAATTATTCTTTTTTTTAATTAATCACTGATATCCGATATATTGATCGACTAATCCAGATCGGGTACTGTAGAGGCGAGGGCAACCCTCCTAACCCAGTTTGCTCCATTCGCAAACGCCATGATTTGAACCCCTGATCTTATTTAAGGGACCTAGTGCCTCATCCCACTAGACCAACTGGTTGTTGGTATATTGATTCTTTAATTTTGAGTAAAACATTTATATATTAAGGTACAATATATATATTATTTGTTGTCCAAAATATATCAAACGGTTGTCTTAGCTCAATGGTTTAATTTCTAATATTCTAACCAAGCAACCTGGGTTCAATTTCTCTCACCCACCTTTTATGCGAATTTATTTTCTTTCAATTAGATGGTCTGATTTGTGGAAAATAAATCTACTAAATTAAAATAAATTTAGTCATCCAATCGAATAAAGACACGTGTCATGACAGGTGTCACCAATGACACGTTACACCTCCTGATTCGATGGTTAAATTTATTTTAATCTATTAAAATCAAGATCAAATTGAAATAATATATAAATTATATGGATCAATTGTGAATTATACCAAAATGTTTTAACGGCCACGTCACCACCTCCGTTAAAAATTAATGGGCGGTAGCTTGATTGAAACATTTAAATAGTTGGGTGGTCTGATTGATTCAATTGAAACTTTGGTGGTCAAATTGATTTTTAACTATAATTTAGTGGTCTCCCGTGTAGTTTACCATTTTTTATCAACAAAGGTCGGTTCATTCCTATCGAACTTCTATACGGTTTTCTTAAAAAAAATAAGCATATTTATTTTTTATATTCTAAATTCGAGCACCATTTATAGAAATATATAAAATTTTATTGTCAATAAAGATATTATATTATATTAATTAAAAAAAATCTTTTTTTAGTTATTTAAATGATTTACCCAATAAAGGGTGAAAATACATTGGAAATCATTTGGTACATAACTCGTGTGTTTTGTAATGTTAAGTGAAATGATGAGGCAGAAAGTGGTATTGGTGTTGTGGGGTTGGGGGAGCCTCAAAGTAAAGAATCTGAACTTCAATATTAACAGCCCTCAAAGGAAAGCATCTTTGTCCAGTCAGTCCAATAGCATCCTTTGGTTGTGTTGTGGGGGCAGTAATAATAGACTTCAATGCCTCAAATTTCTCAAAAATTATATATAAATCACTGATATGTCATTCCCAAAGTGCTGCAAACAATTTGTATGACCTGTAAATGGACCCAAGCCTAAGGATATCCTGCGCCAAAATTATTGTTTTTTGAAATAAGGTCTTCGCTTGAATAGTCGCTGAAAGTCGTTAAAAATTGCACGATAACTTTCCACTTCTTATATAGGTGATGTCAAGAAACATTATTTTGAGTAAAAATCGCCTTATAATCCTAACAACTTCCACCAACTGCTGTAATACAAACAAAATAATTTTTATTGTGCCTATATAGCTAAGCCTTTATTTTCCTTGAAATATCCATGTCACTCTTCATATGGAGATGAGATCTGCAAGGGTCCTCCCAGAAACAGAAGCCACAAGAAAAAATTAACTTACCCAAGTTAAACACATCCATATCCAACAGTCACCCCAATCCAAATAACAAAGGGCATATTAAAAGTTTAGTCCACCTTCCAAATTCCTACCTACTTGCTTTATGTGTTCTTTTCCGGGAGCAATTTTGGCTTATGGTGTAATGTATGTGTCCTAAAACATGAAACGGGTTACATCATGAGCTTGTGAAATCGAAACAGTACTGACTTATAAGTTATATTTAATTGCCAGTGGCAAGAGAGAAAAAAAAAATCAAGAAAGACTGCAATTTATTGAGGTCGTAACATGAATATTTTGTTTGAATCCCAAATAACTCTCATAACCCCAAGCTTTTTCTCAGCATCTTCAAATGAAGCACCTGTGGTTTCAGAAGGATGAGGAAGCTTCACCCATCCGTCAGCCTTTAGGTCAACGATATCGACAACACATGTTCCCAATTCCTCCAATCTCTTTTCGTACCATTTATCTTGTACCTGATGTACTTTTCCCTTACCGATCACTGCACCTACCAGGCTTGCACTGAACAAAGTGTGCAGCACCATAATCAACAGATTCTGGAGCCGCTGGGTTTTCACTGGTGTGCAGTCCTGACATGAGTCTGTCATAACCATATTTTAGAAAAATAATTAAATATTATTTTTAAAACGATTATGATTTGTATTTTAAAAACTTATGGTGATTTGAAATTGATTTGAATAAAATGGAAAATGAGTCGTCATCGACTTTTGAATTAGGTAGGTTGAATATCTAAAAATATTTTTTAAAAATAATTTTAAGAAAAATCATTTTTAAGACAAAAATAGTTTGAGTTACCAGAAATTCAATTTGATAGGTCAGGGAGTCGGTTATACATAGGGAAGGATTATCACCCCCCATAACGCCCAAAATTGGTACTGTGTCGCTTACACGTTGTCGTAAATGGTGGAAATTACAAATTTAATATAAATTTAAAATATGATCCGTTTATTGAAATTTAATTAATTTACTTCGAATTAATTAATTAGAGAAAATTCTTTAACTCGAAAAGAAATCTCGAAATTAGCAATCCTCCATCGGGAAAGCTAACTCGACTATTTCTTGTCAGTAAAATAATATTCCCTCATAATTAATTGTAGAAGATGCAAATCGAATATAAAATGAAAAACGATCTTTGCATAAAATGAATCGCTATTTAGTAATATGTATAGAATTGTTCAACTTAAAATTAAAGGATTAATTAGCAAAATAAAATCAATTTATTTCAAGTTCGTATTTGGTTCGAACGTCATATTATATTGTATCATTTCGATCAAGTGATACTTTCTACGCCTGTTCTACAAATATGAGTTCTTGAAATATATTCGAGTAATATTTAAAAATAAAGGCATACAATAAAACAAATGTGAATGGACATAGGTAAAATGAAATATTTACAATAAATAGAGCTAATAATATTTATTTACAAATACAAATAACTACAATATGTGAAACCATGTTCATACACAAAAGACTAAAATGAAAACAAACAAACATTACAAACAAAAAAATATAATGACCAAAAAAGTATGCACTTGAAGTTACAAAGACCAAAACAACAAAAACATAAAACTAAAGACTAAAATAATAATAACAAAAAGTTAAGGGACTAAATATAAAATACATATATTTAAGGG